TTTCTTTTTTAGAATTTAAGACGAAACAGGAAATGCTTGAAAATTTTAAATTTCTAATCTTTTTATTTGATTATAAATATTAAAATTATAAAAGCTTTTTGTTGCATTTTTGTCCTTTGTTCAACACCACCCTGCTTAACTCCGTATATAAAATATATATTAAAGAATAAACAATTATTTTTATATAGTATTTTTTTAAGCTAGCTGGCTAACTTTTGCTAATGCTAGTTAGCAAACGGTAACCGAAGCTAAAAATAAAAACTAACATTTAGACTCTGCTGAGGTCTGAACCAGAAGTTTTACCATAAAAATCAAATACATATCAATTAAAACATTTATTTATTTACTTACTTTGGGTATGGTTGACTTTTCCTGCTGAAAATTTTGATATTGTCAGAGTTGTAATTAACACACCTGCGCCGAAGATTCGAGTTGGTACGGTCCAAAATATGAGGTTTTTTTTCTTCATAAATTATAATAAAAAAGCTCAAAGAGTCCCAGAATCTTATTTATAACAAATAAAATGGTGTTTATAATTATCTAATATTCCAACCTGGTTGTTTAGTCTATTTTAGAGGGGATATAAATATTTACACTTTGTGCTCCCCCCTCAAACTAAATTTTTGGAACCGTCCATCTCCCATGTGCAGCGCTTTAACGTTTCTGACTGCAGCTTTGGTTACATCCGTTTACAAATACGTGTATTTAGCTCTTTATTTAAAGCCCATTAAGTTTATATTTTTACCAATTTACCTCTGTAGAGTTACTAATGCGCATGCTCAGTCAGTTTTTTGCGATGCTTTGGTGTCTAAATAGTATCATACCTACTTCCGGGTTGTGCTCTGCGGCAGACATTATGATTCCAACACCCGGGAACTTTACACGTCGCTACCACGACGTCAAATACTAATAAAACTAATTTACAAATATGTTTGTATACAACAGTCAATAAAAAGCAGGTGTAAAGGAACAAAAGAATAGAAATTAACGCCGAAAAGAAATATCTAAGAAACTATTTGGGGGCGTGGTGCACCATTTAACGCATGCGCAGTAGTAACGGTACAAAGGTCAGCATGTTAAAAACATGTGCTGTTTACAGCAAAAAATAAGTTTTTATTGTAAAAAAAACAACTGAGCAAGCACAAAGCACAGTCAGTTATCTTTATTTTTAGGATTACAGGCCGAAACAAAAATTAACTTTGGGTTTGAGTCTAAGAACAAAGAGTTTTGTTGACTTATAAAACCTGAACTATAAATGGGAAAAAAATCAAGATTTATTAAGATTTGGTGTCAAGAGTTAAGTATAAAATGCAGCGTAAGTTTATGTAAAAGCTTCTGTTGTGTAATTTTAGTGATATTTGTTTCTGTCTCTTGCCCGCTGCTTAACCTCACCTGCAGACGTGCGGAGCTGCAAACCACAACTCCACAGGAGCTTCATGCAGAAGAGCTGGGTCTGAGCCGTGTGCTGGTCGCCGCAGCACTGTTTACTGTACGTTCAGACTGCAATCAGCTGCAAAACCATGTTTCAACAGTGGAAAAACAAAACGAGTGACAAGACCCAAGATAATTTATTCTTGAAACAAATGTTCTACATTTTATGGATCAAAAAAAAAAGATGAGCGTTTCACTTCATGGTGCTGAAGTTTACCCATAATGCATAGCAGTGAACACATCATGCCAACTGTCTCACAAACTCTGTGGACCAAACATGAACTGTATAAAACTGGCCCACGGAGGCTGAAGTCAAGCTTTAAGTCCCTTTTGCTCCATGTAGTCAGGACTTAACGTCCAACAATCTTAACCCCCCCCAAAGAATACATGACGGCATCCAGAAAAGGATCCCAGCCACAGCAGCTGATCAACAGAATCTGCATCTGAAACGTTTCATTTACAATAAAACACGTTCTGTGAAGCAGGCCCTGCTGTGGTTTAATTTCCTCTGTCATGCGGCGTGCTGCAGGTTTTCCCCATCCCCTCGTCTGCTGCAGATATTTCTGCAGCTCGGAGCTTCACCTCTTTGTTTCCAGGCAGTTACCTCACTTTATGCACACGAGTGTCGGGGAGGAGGAATGGCTGCGTCCTCGGTTTCCATTAAAGTTTCATTTAAACTGCACGAGTAGTGACTCGGGTTTTAAAATAACCTCGGCCCCATCAAGGTTTTATTGCTGTTTACTGTCACTCAGCTCCGTTCTGCTGTCGTCTCTTTCTCTCTCTCCACCTGTGTCCAGTATCTGCACCTTTTCACATCGTGCGTGATTATTAAAATAATTAACGATCTCTTACACCAAAGTAAACCTTTTTCAAGTCAAAGTGATTCTTTTGCAGCAGGAAATCAAATTATCTGGTCATAACTGATTAAAACAGTATCTTACCTGTTGCAGATAGTCTGAACAGAGCAAGCTTAAAACAACCTCGGCCTCTACAACTTTTTTATCAGTTGATGCAAACACTTTTATTACCAAACTTCACATTGAATTATAGTAAATTGATATCTCTACTGTGAAGCAAGCCTATAGGAGGGCTGGATATTACCACTCCTTCCTGTTTTTATTTTCCAGGTTCAGCGTGCATTGTATGATCTACTGCTACCAGGAGTCAAAGCTAGTCCCAGTAGAGATGTGACGTTAACGAACGAGCCGAATCTTTGGAACTGCTCTTTAAAACTAACAATGGAAGCCGAGTCTCAGACAGCTGAGAGCCGTTCTCCTCGTGTTTTCCTCCGTAGATGCAGACACACCTGCTCCTCCTTTGCCTTTCCACTGAGATGAGGAGGAGCAGGTGAAGGGGAGAAGCAAACTGGGATTAGCAAACATGCGCTCAGGATGGGGGGAGGAAGGCAGGTGCGTGTTTGACAAGTTGCATTGTTCAGGCGTCCATCTTGATGCAGGCTGAACTACGTGACTCAGGTCAAAATGTACGGCTCTTTAAAGAATGGAGCCAGGAGAACCGGCTCCCTTTACAGACCCGTAAATCCCATTTTTAATTACCGCTCAAACGCCACATTTCAATTTAATTTTATATGATTGTTTTTTTGTCCAAAGCTGCAGGAGAAGTGTGGGCCAAAAATTTAAAAAATGAAAGAAATGATGAAAAAAGTGATGGTTTTCATATTAAACAGCCAAACTGTAAAAAGTCTGAATTAAATGACTAAAATGAAGCAGCTCACGATCTTAAAACACAAATACATTATTGAGAAACAAAGAAATTGTGTAAATCTACATCTAAATGACGGCCGCAGCTAATCCAAGTTAGCAAACACAAAAATGTCCGTAGCTCCGTCAGTTTTACAGAAAATGAGCTAAAATTTGTTGTGGTAGTAGCTGAGAGTCATCCCAAGCACACAACCCAAGCCTTACGAGCCACATGACATCTCTAAATGTTTTGTGACATTGTGTGTAACTTTATTTTTGGCCAAAGCAGCTGCAACTTGTTCTTACTTAATAATATTAATCATTTAATAATTAATCTCTGCAGTGAAAGGCGGCGGGTGATATGCATTCCTTCAAAGAACAGTTGGCCTTGAACTATTTGAACTTTTATGTTTTAAGGTTTGATGTAACTTCAATTTGTTTGTTTGCTAACTTATCCAAAAAAAATGAGTTTTTTAATTGTTTTTATTTTAGTTTTAATTAATCTTGGTGATTGGGAAATGCATAGTTGTTAATTTTGTGCAAGTTTTCTTATTTATACACCAACCATTTTATTATTTTACTTGTGAAGGTGTTTAAACTGTTTTTAAAAGTTTTGTGTTTTGAACATGGTGATTGATTAGATGTGGCTTCTTTACACTATAAAGTGTTTATTTTTAATTTAAAACGTTAGTATGTTTATAACAAAGTCCATGCTCAATAATCCAGGATTACAATCCAACATTTTTCAGTCAGGTCATCTGGACAGTTTCTTTTTTTGTGCTGAAACGTATGTTTTAGTTTTCAGTATGTTTTAATACAAAGTATATTTATCATAATTGTTGATCATTGATATTAGTGTTTTTATTTATTTTATCTTTTGACCTGAATTGTATCAAGAATTAGTGACATTTGATTCTAAAAAAAAGAGGCTGCTGCCTGTTGAGACACATTTTTAATCATAATAAATTGTATTTATTATTTATTATTCTTTATTTAACCAGACAATCCCACTGAGATCACAGATCTCTTTTCTAAGGGAGGCCTGGGCCTGAAGCAGACTAACTTACATGTTTTTTGTCTGTGGGAGGAAACCAGAGAACCTGAAAAAAACACAAAGCACGAGAAGAACATGCAAACTCCACACAGAGAGACCCCAGGTCCAACTGGGGATTGAACCCAGGACCTTCTTGCTGTGAGGCAACAGTGCTAACCACTGAACCGCCGTGCTGCCATTGGATGATTTTCTGATAAGAGGTCAAAGGTTGTGACAAATGGATCAAACGTGTTGATGCACGTTAAACCTTTTGCAGATGATGTTTGAGTGTTCTCTACCTGAGTTTCACACATTCACGTGTTCCCAAAGGCACGAAGCAAGCTGGGATTTTAAAATATCATTTGCATCAGCGTGAACTCACATGTCAAATTTACCAGAGACGTGTGGATTGGTGGTTTGTGACGATTTCCACTGACTGTTTTAGTCGACCCAGCGGGTTGGGCGCAGGCTGCAGGTCTCTGCTGCGGTCAGCGTCCTGCGGCGTGACGAGTTTTACCGATAACTCCAATCAGACACCTGGGTGTGGTGGAATGTGTTGAAGTTTATGATTATTTTTTCACAGCAGGCGCGAGTGGGAGACCCCTCACCCACTTCGTTGAAGTTTGATGATTTAAAGGAAATGCACAACCACAGTTTTCACACTTACATCAGTGCTGCATCGAACTGACTCGCTCTCTCACAAGTCGTTATAAATAAATGCTTTCGCGACGAGTCGAACAGTTCGAGCTTCAGGGCGAGACACGACGGGCAGGACAGTCTCCCACAGGGATCGACAAGCGGCGGGCACATCGGATCGTGGAGCTCAGGGCGGTGAAATGAAGGCGGCGCTGAATAGGGCAGTGGTCTTTCTGTCCGTGTGGCTGTGTGTGTGTCAGGTCAGAGGCCTGTACATCCCTCAGGAGATGAACAGAACCCTGCAGAACCTCCGGCAGCACTATGTGAGTACTGACTCTGCTGGGACTCGTCCTTTAGCTCTACTGCTTCATTTCTGCTCTGTGTGACTAGAACCAGCGCTTTGTTGCTCTCACCACACACACACACACACACACACACACACACACACACACGCACACACACACACACACGCCTGACAATTTGAACTATGTGGTTGAAGGACCAAACTGTTTCTATGAAACAGCCAAAATGTAAAAGAACACCGGTGCATATTTCACTTAAATGCACCAAAATGAGTTAAACTGCAGTTTTTAATGTTTTTTTAATTTTATTTTGATGAACTTTTTGTAGATTTTTTTCATTTTCTCACTCGTTCCTATTAAAGGCAGGTAATCCTGTACCCGTGTCAGCTGTCTGTGTCGGCACGTGTGCGTTTGCTCATTTGTCCGCAAGTTGTTTGTCTTTATCTCATAAACGACCGGACGGATCTTAAAGAACCCCGTCGGGCGTGCAGCTACGACTTCTGGAGTCAACGCCGTTCAAGATGGCTGCCGCTTTAGCAAACACAAAATCAGCTCCAACTCAATTAAACGTAAAGATGTTGAGGTCAAGTCTGGAGTGGTGGTGGCTGACAGCGAGACCTCAGCAGCTTTTATCAATACAAAGTTTGTTGTTTAGAAGTTTAGCATGAAGGGCAGCGAACGGATGCCATTAGAATATTTTCACCATCTCAGAATAAAGAGCTACATTAAAACTGCTCACCGGTTCGTTAACCTCAGATAACAGACTGGTCCTGGACAAATATAAAAGTTAAAAAACAAAACGTTTGTCGTCATTTGCACAAACCGTGTTCTTCAAACGTGTGAATTTTAAAAGCGCATCATCAGCATTTCTGCGTTTTCCTGCTGTCTTTGAATGAATCCTGGGAAGAAGCAACTTTTTTAAATTTCTTTCACATTTAACGTTTGGCTTCAGACATCGGTGCTGCATCCAAAACCTGTTTTAAACTCTTTAATTTGTCTTTAAACTGAAATGTTTGTGTTTCTGTGTCTTTGGCAGAAAATTTCAAACCAAGAGTTGTACAACGGAAAGAACGTCTTCTCCAGGGAACCACTGAAAGGAAAAATTGAGGTAAATGGAAACCAGTTTAGCATTTTTTTACATTTGCAGCAACACAAAGACAGTTGCATTGCTCATCCTCCCCTAAACTAAAATACCGAGCGTAATCTCACTGCTCAAAGACATTAACTCGCTCTTTTCGTTGAGACAGAATGTGAATTATGGAAAACAAACCAGAGAATAAAATCAGGCTGTCCTTTGGGAGGTGAAGGGATTATTCCTTTTTGTTGGACCGAAAAGGCTCAAAAATGCTTTAATTTAAGCATCTTAATCCTAATGTTGAAATACCAGATTGAGAGATGTAAAAGTTAAAATGGGTGCAGGTTTAACAGGAAGTGATGTCACAGGTCTTTACGGTTTAATTTTCTTTTTAACTGACTCATTTCTCTACCTAAGCTCTTTCTGCCACCATCTCCAGCTGTACACTGAATTTAAAGATGACGTTACAAGTATTAGTTTTAACGCTTGTGCACAAATATTAACTCTTTCCAGCTTCTGGTTATTAGCAGACACTGTACTGGGAAAAACTGTTACAGAAAAAAAAACATTAAAACCACAATTGTCTGTTTTAAATGTTTTAATCTGAAGTCAAATAAACAATCCAGAGACAGTCCTGTAATTTGTTTTTTTATTTTAAACAAAGCTAAGCTAGCAGTTTTTAGCTACTCCTAGCCGCATGCTAAGCTAAGCTAACTGCATTAGCTTGATCTCTGGTATGAAACAGTTTAATTTACCCACAGGTTTATGTAAAATTCAGGATTTAAAGTGTCTTTAAGTAGATTAATGTGGTCATAGTGAGTGTGTGTTTATATTTAAGTGTGTTTTGTGACGTTTGACATATTTAGGCTGATTTCTGTGCTATCCTGTTACATTAGCGGTTAGCTAATTGAGTCAGCAGTTAGCTGGTGTTTTCCTCGGGTTTCTGTCTGTCACATCGGAGTTCAGCACTTTGAACCTGTTGATCTTTATCTCTGGAGTTTGTCTTGAGGTTATTGTGGTTTTTCCTGCTGGCTCTGCAGCGTGCAAACCTTTTCTGCAGCAGGTTTTAAACATCAAAGTTTACTTTCACTGTTCCCCGACCGTGAAGTCCTCGTGTTTTGGTTTCGAGCGCCGATGAGCTCTCGACAGATCTGGATCTGCAGCGCGTTGGTTGGCTCGTCGACTTTTCAAGACGCGGCTCAGTTTCTGGTTTAGACAAAGCAGCAATATTAATCACCAGGGGTCCTGTGTTTCTGTTAATTTGTCTGTTAGCAAAATATCTCTTAAATAACTGATGACATATTTTGCTAACACACAAACACACCCACACAGGCAGCTGTATAATGGCCCAGTTTCCATCCCAGTGCGATGAACAATAAGTTGAACTACATTTGTCATATCGTAACCACTAAACCCATTCTCATATTTTCATGCTGCACTTTGACCCACTGGTTTGTTTTTGGCACTCGGGGAGAAGTCAACGTTAATATTTAACATATTCAGCTGGTGCCACGCAGAAACTAACATGACCTTAAAGACCACATAATATACACGCAGCCACCTCCCCGCTGGGTTTTCACGTTTGACTTTTCCATCTTTGTCCCACACAGTTGTTCCAGTCCAGAGGCTTCTCGTGAGTCATCTGGGCTGCAGCACCTTACAGGGCAACAATCGTTTAGACGTAAAACTCAACCGTAAGCATGCCGGGAAGCTCGGACCATTGGTGTCGGGGAGGTTTTCTTGTTTTTAGACCTCTCTCTGATCTCCTGGAAGAGAAGCTCCACTTGTTTCAGTCCCATCGAGCTCGACGAAGTGTTCGTTTCTCTTGTTTGACCAAAATAAGTTCACAGTAATCACTGCTCTCAAAATAATCTTGCCCAAAAAGAATGAAAACTGTCAGAAGAAGTCATTCGTGAATCTGGAATATGGCATTCAGGTTTGACAGTCGATGAGTGGCATTCCCCTTTAAGGCCTCTTCACTTAGTTTAACGCTTGTGTGGGAAACCACAAAGATGTTTCCACTGTGTGGGGTGGTGTGTGAGCACCTTGGTGCTGGTAGAAGACCAGCAAGTCATGAACTTATCATACATCTGCGCCTAGAAGCTTCTAACTAACAAACTAAAGCATGTTTTTCCAAATCAAGTACCTGAAACGTTTGATCGATGTATTTCTGTCGTTCTGTTTCGCAGTCCAAGATGTTGTTCATGGGGGGCGTCTTAGAGACGTATGAGAAGCTGATTGAACACATGTTGAACCAGCTGCCCACGCCGAGCCCCCTGATAACCCAGAACAAAGAGAAACCGTCATCCTCCATCACGGACATCTCCAGAACCTCCAGTGACGAGACCGCCGGAGATATTGGATCAAAGCTGGCTTACATCCTTGGGAAGATCCAAGAGCTGAAGAAACATCGTTACCAGGAGCAGATGAAGGTTCTGCACGGACTGCAGAACCTCAGGCACATTAAGGTACGCAGACCGTTGTCTCATTGAACGTTACTGAAGATAAAATCGGGAAAACTTCACAGAAGCCTTGTGGGGCGTTTTGGCAGAGCCTGAAGGGGTCTTGTGCTGGGACTTATGGAAACCTTGAATTAACTCAAAGCCACACAGTAAGGAAGGACTCAAGTAGGAACTAAACTAAAACAGGAGGTTTATGTGGGACTTGAAGAGATCAAAACCATTCAACGGAGCAAAAGAAAGCAGATTCTGATGTTAAGGAATGTAAATTTATCCCTACAACCAGTTCTCCAGAGATTTTCTTCCACCTATTTCCTACATTCGATCCAGAGCAGGTTTGCTTGGAGTTGGTGCCTGTTGGTGCCTGTTGGTGCCAGTAATCACGTGTAGGGGTTGCGGTGTTAAAGAAGGCCTAAGAAGCTTTAGTTAAAGGCTTAGAGAAAGTCTTGTATAGGTCTTAAAAATGGCTAAAATACTGGAAGTGACCCCTTCTCTGTTCAGAGAGCACAAGAACTTAGTGTGTGGTCGCAACACTCAGTAGGTGGTTTACCCCCCACACGCCTTCCTGAATGAAATGGTTTGTATTTATTAGAATCCATTCACAATTTTGGGGTTCTGAAAGGTTTTTAGAGCCTTTCACAGGTTTTTAAGACAGTTTGGGCAGGACTTAAAGAACTAAACTGAAGTCCTACAGCCAGACTTAGTCCTTCAAGAAGGCCCAAAGGGGTGCTTGAGAAGGAATACCTGAACCCTGAAGCTGGTTTATGGGCTCAGAGATCTCCAACAGGAGGTTCGAAGGACTTTTGTGTGGCTTGAACTAAACGTATATTTGGAGCCTTGGTGAAGCCTTGAAAAGAGACGTTACCAACGCTCATGTAGGTCCAAAAGACTGAGACGAAGAACAAGTAACTTTATGGACATACTTAGTGTTGCAAGTCTCAAAAAAAGGTCTTACGGTGAAAACTGCTTTATAAACCTTCTGTATAACTTACTGTTGGAGAAAACTCAATGACTGAAGTCTAAGAAAGACTTTAGGATCTTAAAAGACGTTCAAATGTCCATACCGGAGAATAAAACCCATGTTTTTGGTTTGGTTGTCAGTAATTCCTGTCACTACCGTTCGTTTCCATGAGCTGCACCTCTAATGGCAACTGTTTGTCCCGTCCCTCCACCAGATGGACAGCCCCGCGGTTCAGAGCAAAGCGCTGTTCGAGCTGCCGTGGTTCTTCGAGGAGGCGAGCACGCTGGCCGACACCGTCATGAGGAAGAGACGGCGGCGCCAGGCGAGGGTCAAGCTTCACCAGAGAAGCTGAAATACGAGCAGAAAGGACGATAAAAGTTCTTCAAACTGAACGGAAACACCGGCAACATAAGGATGTCAGTTTTCTAAAACAGAAATCTAATTTGTCTACTATAAACTTGTGCCTGATAAATATGCCAGTTTTGCAAAATTCAAATACTTGAAAGCAGGATCCTGCAGTCCAGGATCCAGAACCACTTGAAATACTTGATTATTTTATTTTAATTTTATCTAAGTCAATTTAAGAAACTGTAAATGTTTTCATACTGATCAATCAGCTCTACAAGGATCAGATTTATATTTAGAGTTTGCTACAAATACAAAAAATTCTGCTGTATTGAGAGAATCTACACTGTGATTAAACAGGTGGGCGGGTCAGATAGATGAATGGGCGGGGCTAGACAGAGGGCAAGTATCTGATTGGTTAATGGTCTGAACCAAACTAGATTGATGAATCTCGACTTTGTTCTCGAGTTTTAAATGTTTTTTTTAAATATAGGAGAATATTTTTATAATAGAAACCTTTCACTGCAGACAATTAATGATGATGATGATGAAAATTGATGTTGATGACAATTGATGATGATGACGATGATGATGATGTTTACAGTACCAAGTACACCAAAGTTTATTGATAAAGTGTTTTCAGTCCTTCTGACCATCCGAGCCCAGCACTGAAGTTCTGGTGTAGTCCTGGACTTGTTTTGGTTCTGAAGTATTTATTTGATATTTAAAGTTATTTAATGCTGAGTCATGCTGGGTTTGTTTATTTATTGTGTATTTATTGATTGGTTGAATAAAACAGTGTGAACCTCACTCAGACCTTTTGTTCTGTTCATTTGATCTGGTCAGGTGACCTTCAGCAGGTGGACTTCAGGGTTCCACAGCTGTTGTACAAGTTTAACTCTTTGAGAACCACCAACCACGGAGGCCTTAAAGGGATAGTTCAGACCTTGTGAAACGGGGTTCTGTGGAAAAGCTCTAAACAGTCAGTGTCTTATCTGTTGTAGACAACTCTTTGAATGATCTCAAGGTTTGATTCTCAATCCTGGTCCTCCAGGACCTCCATCATTAGTTGTTGGGTCGTGGACATAGCAGGTCCAGGAGGGAAACCCAGACCTCCCCCACTATTGAGACTCTCCAGCTCTTCCTGGTAGCAGGGGCGGTCCTAGCTTGTTTGGGGCCCTGGGCAACAGACACCTCTGGCACACCCCCCGCCTTAAAATAAGGCATTTCTAAGTTGCACCAATAGAAGAACCCTTAATAAAATCTGTGTGCTACAGTTACACTTTGATCGAGACACAAATTTCTCTGCACAAATGTCAAGGAAGGTCTGAACCTTTATAGACATTTGAAATAATGCGTTTTATTTTTTGAGGGGGAAGGTGGGCGCTCGTGCCGCTCTTGACAAGATGCCGCCCTGGGCAGCTGCATCTCAGACACTGCCACTGCCTGGTGGATCCCAAGGCGCTCCCAGGCCCAGGCATGATTTTAAGAACGTTCACTTAAACCACCATGAAACGTTTGAGTTTGGAGTTACTTTAAGACAACAGCTATACTTTTGGTCCTGGTCCCACTTGGTCCAGCTGGTAAACCGGAGTCTCACTGGGATGGAAAACCACTTTTCAAAGGAAATCTCCAAAATGTCTCCAAACATTTGTGGAGGTTCTCGACTTCCTTGCTTGAGTCTCAGTGATCCTCAGTCTCGTTGCTTCAGTTTTGAACATGTTCAAAAGATTCAAGTGACAAGTTTTCTTTCAAAATATTCCCAGATTGAGCGTCTCAAACCTGCTTCACTTTATCCTGATGCATGCTCAATAATCCAGGCTGCTTCAGTTTAGTTTCCAATAACCTCAAACTCCAGAGACGCATGTGGACACCTGCAGAGGAGCTCTGACGGAAACCACTGAGGTCTAAAAGCCTGTCCAGTGATAAATGATTCATAACAGTAGTTTTACATCCAGGTCAGGCTCAAGGTGGGTATAAACTGGGCGCAAATAAAATAATGTGCACGGCCATGACTATGTTTTAATTTTATAAAAATTGGCTGCTCCAAACGCGACCGCACGGCTCGCTGGTCGCGACACTCAGAGATCAGTGGGACTGCCACAAAAAAGTCTGTTTTCCTATAATCTTTAGCTCCTCTAAAGTCCATGCTCAATAATCCAGGTCTACAATCCAACAATTTTCAGTCAGGTCATCTGGACAGTTGCTTTTTTTTTTTAGTGCTGAAACTTTTCACCTTTCACACCTCAGTTTGTTCAGGTTTCAACCGAACCGAGGTCGCCCAACAAGCCATCTACACCAGGTAAGATACTATTTGTCCCAACTTGACCTCTTTAACAATAAGTCTAAAAAGGTAGAAAGTAAACATTTAAATGAGAGAACAAGATCTGAGATGTGAAGGTCTCTAGAGCAGAGCCACGATCCTCAAAACTTGATTTCCTGACGTTTTCAAACTCATCTGGAAATGCTCGTCATCTGGAGGAAGCTCCGGCGTCACTTCAGGTGACGTCAGAAGAAAACGTTTTGTTGTGCAGCCGCCAGAGACTCAGACGTCTGAGGTTAGTGAGACGAGTTAGACGGGAGTCATCTGTGATCAGGAGGACCTGCTGCTTGCACGCCGCTTTCTTCCTCCAACCGTCAAACTGACGGGTTGATTCTGCAGAACTTCAGAACAAACTGATGAGATCACCACTTCATCAGAAACGGGAGGAAGACGAAAAAAAACATCCAGATGCAAACAGCAGCAGAGCCACTTTCAAAAGAACTTTGTTTTATTTTAAATACATTTCCACAAAATCCAACAAAACTAAAATCAACCTGAGGAGTTAAAGAGCTTCTGCTGCTCCAAAAACCCACAGTTGTGATGTCACTTCCTGTGACATCACTTCTGGTAATTTTTGTCTCCTCCTTTTACAGTAAGTGCTGCCCTTACCCACAATGCACGGCGGTTCTGTTTGTGTGCGCGGCTGTGACTTCTAAGAACCTGAGCTGTGTTTCCCCACCGCAGCGCTGAAAGTCTGGCTGCGTGGCCGACAGGCTGAGGCGCCGACAAACAAAAATAAAGACAAAACAAACTAAAAATACACCTATGTTCAGTTTTTTTCAAAGGGTCAAGATGAGACGAGTGGAGTGCCTCAAGGCTCAGTCCCAGAGCCTTTTCAATTTAACAAAAAGGGGCCTTAAAAATCCAACATTTTTCAGTCTGGTCATCTGGACGGTTTCTTTTTTTTGTACTGAAACGTTTCGCCTTCGATCCGGAATCCTTCATCAGATCCAACCTGATGACCTGACTGGAAAATGTTGGATTGTATACCTGGATTATTGAGCATGGACTTTGTTGGCGCCTTAAAAATGTTTTCTTTATAGCAAAATGAGGTGCACAAAATGGTAAAAACAAGTAAAAAGCAACAGAAACTGCTATTTAAATCAAAAGGATAAACCTCACAAAGGGTGAAATTACTAATGACTGATGTTTAATTACCTTTAGACATCAATCAGCTCGTTAGCTGAAAGTCGAACGGCGATGAAATGCTTTACCAAAGAGAAAGTTTATAAATCAGTTCTCATGATGAAATTAAAGGCCTTATTTCTCTGTACTGGTCCTGTATTAAAACAAGAGATAGATAAAAAAAAAACCACTTTATAAAACCCTAGAAAAAAGTAAAAGATCGAAAACGAGTTTACTCCCACACACTGCCTACAGGTGGGCTCTTATAGGCGGAGCTTCATCTCCCTATTATAACACACAGTAGTAGCTAGCTGTAGCACTTCCTGTGCAGCGTGTAAGTACTTCCTGCAGAAATTTACAATGAAAGATGGTTTTAGAGTTGTCTCGAGAAAACAGTGACCCACTTTGGTCTTGCTCAGATTAGCCGTTAGCTCAACATAGTTATCTACAACAGGTAAGATATTAACAGTGTATGTCCTTTCAACAGAACCCCACTTCAAATCGTCTGAACTATTTCTTCACGTTGTTTTGCACTAATCATGTTTCATGGTGGTCTTTGAAGATAATATTTTATGCATGAGTAGAAATCAATTTATGCAGAAACATAACTAGAGATGGGGCAGGAAGCCTGAAGCTGAAGCCACAACAAACCAGCGCCCTCTAGTGGTTGAAGCTCCCCGTCCCCATGAAAGTCTAAGGTATGTTTGTGTGTGTGTCTTCAGGTTTTTCCTCCTCTGCAGTTCATCTCACCTTCTGATCAGAGACAGGAACCCTCAGTGTCCATCATGTTGGACCAGAAGAACCAGCATCTGGTTCTGGATCCGAGCAGAGCAGAACATTCCTCCACCATTCTGGTAAAGGATCGGGTAAAATCCTGTTCCTGTTGGGAATCTCAGAAGTTCTGCAGTTCAGCCGCAAAGCAACAAATCTGAGATGATCCAGAAAGTTGTTCCAGTGGGTCCAAACAGGATTAATGGATCCAAGAAGTGATGAGATGATCTGTCAGGAACGTAACGATGAGCTCGTAGAGGAGGGATGAACTTCCAAAGGAAAGATGAGCTCCCAAAGGAGGGATGAACTCCCAGAGGAATGATGAACTCACAGAGGAGGGATGAACTCCCAGGGGAATGATGAACTCACAGAGGAGGGATGAGCTTCCAGAGGAAGGATG